ACGATAATTTGGCCGAATCCTTTAATTTCGGGTCAAATTAAATTTTATTTCTATTATTATTTTATTTAATCTATTTTTTTTTTATTATTTATTTTTATTTTTATTTTATTTATAATTTCTATTTTTATTTATCAATAACGTGTATAATTATTTATTATCATCTGAATTCGTATTACGTTTCGCGTATTTAATTATTATTATTAATCGATCCGTAGCACATTCATATTTATTTAACTTTATTTGGTAGAGATTCTTCCGGACGGGCGGAATCCGCCCAAGTACAAAGTGAGCGAATTCGCGCAATTCGGGCTAATATGTAAATGAACATGTATATAAAGAACTTAATTTCGACCTAACGTTATAAGTTAATTAGTTTCGACTAAGGAAATAACTGTGATAATAATAAGTTAATTAGTTTCGACTAAGGAAAACTAAATAAATAAAATAGTAATATACCAAAATTATTTGCTAATACCAAAATCAATTCGTTGATCCCTTATTCATTATTCATTCTGATCCACACAAAACAAAAATAATTATCATCACCAATTAAAATACGTTCTCCCAAATTTAATTGGTGACAATAATATGAAAAAAAAAAATTTTTATAATGTTAACATAGAACTCAGTGAGATCACAAACTTTTTCTTTTTTTTATTTAGTGGTACAGCCATATAATCAAATAATTTTTTTCATATCCTATATAGTTAATTTTTAACATGTAAACAAATAAATCAATTAAATAGACAAAAAAAAAAACCAATTAAATTCATTTAATATAGTTTTTGACACCTAATAATAGTTTTCCTTTTGTTATCTGTTCATTCAATTTTGAGATTATCTTGTTTTTCTTATTTTTGTCATTAATTAATACTATCTTAAAAAATTCTTCACAATAAAAATAAATAAACAAAAGTTCTAAATTTAAAGATTATTATCATCTATATTAATAATTAATAATTTATTAAGTTGAGAATATTAATCAATATATTAAAATATATTTTCTTTTGTAACCTTTTGAGTAGAAACTCCAATTAAAAGATTGTACCTTCATATATTGTCTAATCATTATTAATATACTGTAACAAAAGTTAGAAAACAATAATGTGAAAAAAAATTGTTGAAAAGTTCTTATAATACTGTAATAAATATCCTATAAAACCTTTTTTGCTTTTAATTTCTTCCTTCTCCAATAAACCCATACAAACCATATATTTTCTGAAAGCTCTTGATGTACTCTGTCTTATCGTGCTAAAACGATCTCAATAGAGCTGATTTCCGAAAAGAATTAAGCTTCCGAAGTCAAAAACCATAGGTTTCTTTGAGAAGCTGTTACTCGTAACCGTAAGAGCTACAGGCGCATAAAGCTCGCGTTTTAAAGGTCAAAGGCAAGTGATTGTTTTTACTTAAAGGCACGAAAATTGTTTAAATAATGAGTTTACATTCAATTCATTCGCCAAAGTCCGTTGTACAGAAAACGTGCCATGTCGATCATATATTAAAATCAGTCACTGTGAAATCATTAATAATATCCTCAGATGCCAATAAAAATCCTTACGTAATCATTACATAAATTCACATATTTATTAACTATTGATTGATTAAGTAATAAAAAATATTACAAGTATTTCCAACGCTTTCCATTTCTCATATCCACCACTATTACAATGGCTAATCCAATCCAAATACCCGCTGGTCTTAAGCTTGATCAAGAAGAACAAAAAGTCTTTTATAGATTGGTTAGACGAGCACGATTAAGATTTAATGCCTTGCAAGACAATAATGCAAAACTTGTTTATATACAAGCACTTGTGGATAGGAAAAAATCTGATCGTGAAAAATCGGTATGTTTAGCTAAAAAACATGCATATGTGTTGTTATTATTTTTTACTAATACTGTTTTAGTTTCTTCGTCGTTTCCTATCACGACTTATTCGTTAGGACTTTGAACAAAAAATAATTTACGGTGCACTCTATATTAGTACTCTTATTTCACTTAATTCTTAGTGCAACTATTTATAAAATGATGAGAATAAGTTGAAAACATTTCGAATGATGTTGAATTCCCTTATTTTTTTTTGCTGAAATTACTTCCGAAGCATAGTATTTTATCAATAAAGAACATTTATCCACAGTATAAAAAAGTAATAATATCATGCAAAAGTAAACACAATTATATGTGAAATCGAGCCACCAGGGCTTGCTTTATTGATGCGGTAAAAAAGAAAAAAGAAAAAAGATATAAATATAAGGTGCATAGATGCCCAATTACATCATCATCATCATCATTATTATTATTAACAAAACGAATTATTTATCATAATAGGATATTTTAATTATGTTTCCTAAATGAACTTGAAAAAACAAATCATTTTCATTCAAAAATAATCATCTTAGGTTGTATATATAATAATAAATAGTAATGATATGTTGCTTAAAATGGAAAAAATCAACAAAATAAGTTGTTTGGAGAAGAGTCGAATTGAATGCAACATAGTAATAGAAGTAGTTATTTTTGATTGTGTTGTTTCCACATTCTCAATTTGAAAAAATAATTCATTTCATTTTAAATTGTATAATAGTAATATTGCTGTGCATTAAAACGATAATCAATTTGAAAAGATGAATTGAATTTGGAAAAAAGACAAGTTGCAAAAATAATCATGGCACCTATTCATCTTGTTTGTCATTTTCCAACTAATATAAAAAGGATAGCTATCCTTTTACAATATATACATTTTCACGTGATATAATAACCTGGCCAATAAACGTAGAGATTTTAGTTTCACAAAAAACCGATTCGAACCGGTTCAAAAACCGAACCGAACCTAAACCAAAAACCGGGTTTTTTTAAACCTAATTTTGAACTAGATGTAAATCTTTTGATCATCTTTTTTGAAGTTAATATTAAACATTGTATTTTTGGACCTATGAAAGAAAGAAGTGTAGTAACTGCTTTTTTATCTGTTTCAGAACACGTCGATGAAAATTTTGGTCAAGGTGATGAAATATTGTTGTTGAAACGCAGCGAAAAAGTTAGAACATACAAGTAATATTCTGAAATATGAAATCATAATGAATGATTATTAGTAGTTTAATATTATTGTGTTTAAGTTGATGACATAAATAATGCAGTAGGTATCTTCTTCTAATTCTTTTTACTTTTTTTAAAAATTATGATTTAGAAATTTTTGGGCAGGAATTAGTGGAACAATAGAAGTTCAAGATAAATCGCCTTTTGATCGTGCACTGATTGAAATAAACGAGGAAACAAGTTTATCACCAAATGATATTATATTGATACGGGCCAGCAAGCCAATTTTTGTGAGAGCAGAAGACATCAATACAATATGGAAAATTCATCCATTTCTTTTTCGACTTGTATCTAAAGATTTGAAAAATAAAATAAGAATAGATTGGGAACATGAAAAATTCCAATGGATCAAACCAAACGAATTAAACGATTTCAACAAAACGGTCCCAAATCTAAAAGATACTTTTTATAGAGTATATTTACCAATCGATGTTCATCAAGGAATATTAAACATTCGTCATGATAAAAAATCAGGAGCCCAGCAGTTAGCAAACAAAGCTTTAGATATTTTTTATCAAATGATCAAGACAAAATCTTATGATAATGGAAATATTAAAGATTATAAAGGATTTCTTTTAACTTTGTTAAATGTTGGATGGCATTTAGTTCAAGCAAGACCTAGTATGAAGGCTTCCATTTCATATGTTGTCACAACTTTATTGAAACAAGTGTTGAAAATATTGGATAAATATGTTCCTAAGATTAAAAATGATGATGATTATGATGATGATGATGATGATGATGATGATAATGATGATAATGATGATGATGGTAATGATAACAATGATAAAAAATCAAGATCTTTCTCTTTAGATAAATGCGAGGAAATGATACTTGAGAGGATTGTTGAATTAAAGACAAAATTCAAGGAATCTGATCAAAAAATAATTGAACATTTTATGGACATTTTATCTTCAAATATCCAAATTCAAAATCAAATATTACACATAATGACAATCAGTTATTCATCCACGATTTATTCAATACTTTTAAATTTAATTCAAAAATTTGCAAATGAATCAACAAATAAGTTGATAATTACTGTGCTGGAGTCTAGACCATTGAATGAAGGTTCTACTCTAGCAAAAAACCTATTATTGGCAACACTAGATCAAAACAAGAACAATAATGATAACATCAAAATACAATTAATTACAGATTCGTCCTGTTGCTATTTTATGTCAGATGTAACTTGTGCACTAATAGGAGCCGATGAAATTAATGGAGACAATGGAAATGTAACCAATAAGATCGGATCATTGCCTTTAGCTATAGCTGCAAAATCTCATAATAAATCTGTTTACGTGATTTCTAAATCTGATAAAATAATTGGCAGCTATAGTAAGCAAGAAAAGTATGATGATGATGATGATGATGATGATGACGATGATGATGATGAAGAGAATGAACCAGATGAAATTATTAAGTCTTACGATGATGTCGAAGAATGGAAAAGAATTATTCAACAAAATGGGAATTTGTTCAAAGTTAGAAATGTTTATTTTGAAAAAATTAATTTTGATTATATTGATGGATATGTGACTGAACTTGACTCAACTCTATTAAGAGTTCAAGATATAAAGAAGTTGTGGGATGATAGAAAATCGGACGGCCAAATTTTTGGAATTTTGGAGTCTGAATCAGAGTATATAACGATGAAAAACACATGTTAGTTTCAGTATCAAACAAAGCAGCAATAAAACAAAATTTTTGTTATTCTAGGTCAATTTTTTTTGCAGCAACATTTGTAAATTCATTTCACTTTTTAAATTATTTATTTCGCTCTCATCAATTTATAAATTGATTGAAGATATTATTTGAGTCATAACAACATCTTCCATGCTATGTGCGTAATTAAGAAATTCGGTTTAGTAATAGTAAAAGAATTCTAGAAAGTACGGGACATACTGCAACAAAGCCAGACAAAGTGTACATAATACTTTCAGGTCAATTGTTCAACACCGCGATTTTACTATCGTGTTAATAGTCTGTGTTTTATTTTTATCTCTTGCTTTTTGTGGCCGTTCTTTATCTGAAGAGTTAAGAAATAACAATTTCACATTATAGGTGTGTGGCTCATGTTCTCAATTTGGCTGTCCAAGAAGGGTTGCAATTAATTGATGAATAAAAGTTAGATGCCTTTCTTATATTCGATCTTCACTTACCAGTACCGAATTAAAGGAATTATGTATAAAAGAACTAACCAAAATGTGTTAGTGAGTATTACGGTGTTGCAGTTGCAAAGAAAATTTCTGATAATATACTTGGAAATAATTGGTATTAGTGACGCAGTGAAAGCCTGCAGCTGTGGGATTTTTATTATTATGTAGACGGACGGGTGTCCAGCTATCTGGAAAATTTTGTTAATTGAAAGAAGGTTTCAAGTTTGTTATGAACACATCCTAAACATAATAAATAAAGATTGCGATACCAATTTCGTTCACCTACTCAAGCAAATTTATTACAGGCGTGAAGAAAATCCAAAAAATATTATTTAACTTGGCCAAGTTAGGCCAAAATCGACTTATCAAGTTTACACGTGTAATTCGAAAGTACTTTAAAAAAGAGTAGACAAATCATTAATTTTCTAAATAATTAATTAGATGAGATGAAAGGCTAAAATTTTCAAAAGTCATAAATATAAATTAATGAACTCAAAAAAAAACTTTTTTTTTGATAGATCTCCCATGTCCTTGCCAAGTTAACTTGTTTACCCTTAAACTATTGCAGACTGCTATGAATTATCCTTATATGATTTGAAAATATTATTATTATTATTTTATTTAACTCATCGCTTATTCATGACAGTTTTTACAGAAAATTATGTTATTTTTGCACCCCAACATTCCAATCATAATTTTTACCTTTTTAAACAAAGATGAAAATTCCGATACATGGATATTTGATTGAGATAGCTTGGATAGATTTGATGTATTTGTTGTTTTTGCATCCAACTAATTAAAGTTGGAAAAAATTTTTTTTCAATAACTTGATAGTTTTTAATTTAATTTTTAATCATGGATAAATTACTTGGTGAATTACACCAGAAAGGCACAATGAGGCAAAATACCATTTTGTAAGTAAGCATAGCATTATACATATGGATATGAAATATACTAATAATATACCTTCTTAATATATGCACTAGAGATTAAAATGATTGAAGCATTAAGAAATTAATATAATTCTTTCAGATTTTAATATGTTTATATTAAAAAGATTCTGAAGGTTTATAGATTAATTTTTTTTTTTTAATTAAAAAATCCTAATTTAAAATAAATGATCTTAATAATAATTAAATTGTTTTATAATGTATGAGTTGATTTCTGATATAATATGAAGATGGTGGATTATGTGTTGGATTATACTCTTCAAATGACCCACCTCGTGAATGTGAAAATCAATGTGCATCAAACATTTGTAAAGATCATGAACTATTAAAGCTTTTATCAAAATATGAAAACAAATATCACCAAATATTATATGTTGGAGATTCTTTTAAAATGTCAAGATAAAATTTTTGATGGCTTATCAATGGTGTATTTATTGTGTGTGTATTTGTGATGTGTATTTGTGGTGTGTATTTGTGATGTATTTATTATAATAATAATAACAATAATGATTAATGATTAATGATAACTTTTTTTATAAATATAAAGTAATGACTAGTTTGTAAGAAAAGTTTTATTCTTCAGAAATTTTTAAAAAATGAATCAGATTTCTGTAACACTAAATGATAAAGGTTATAAATCTATATATTATTTATTGGAATGATGTAAGTGATTTTTTATAATAGTATGGAAATGGAATTTGGAAACCTTTCTTCTTTAGCGAATTAATTAAATGATTATCTTTTTTGTTTACTATCGTCATCCTTTATTTTTTTCCTAGTTTCTGATTGTCTTCTTGATTCATTTATAGCATATTTAACATATAAACCAACTATTATTGCCATTGTAAATGCTGTTAATGGTTGTAACAATTTTTTGGAATTGATTTGTGTCATTTCAATAAAAAATTCTTTTATCAAAAAGAAATTGAATTGGCCAATCGAATTTTAATATATTGTTCGTGTAACATCTTAATAACCATGTATTTTATTTTAACAAGTAAACCTTATTACAACTAAATCGGGAAGATCCAAATCCTCCCTATAGCTAATTGTGGCTTCATAGAAAGTCATCATTGCTGCTGCTGCCACCAGCTAGAC